CGTAAACGTATTTATTATAATTAACTTAATTGTAGCGATAAATGCTTCCTAAAATAATAATAATACTGACTACATGAAGTCGGTTAAAAATTAAGAATAGGTTTTTATAGAAATGCATAACATAAACATTAAAATACTTAATAACAAATTAAAAAAGTTTTTATAATACAGAAATAATATTGCACTTATTATAAAAAAAAACTTGATACAGTTGTCACAAACATTCGATATTCTGCAGTCCAAGAAATGCCTAAAAGATAAACAAAACTGTACAGTATATTCTTATCAACACTGACACTTTTTGTTCTGGCAACGAACGGTATGTTTTGAATTCAAATTCAGCACGTTTTTTCACCAATCACAATAAAAACTTCCGCGATGAGCATCAAATCGTTCCGTGTTGCTCGAAATTTAAAATTTTAAAAGTGATTTCCTCCTTTATTTGTTTTCTTTTTATTTGTCGATGAAGTTATTACTTTTTTGCGGCCAGGTCTGAGGCTGTCTTCTTAGAGCGTCGTATTGGGCAGCGTTGATGTACCAAAAAGGTTGCTTATCGACAGGCATTTGTTCGATTGTGTTTATTAGTTGCCTGTCTCCTTTAGCTTGAATGGGTATGACGTCATCATCTCCAAATCTATTGGATAGTCCTTGAGCGGTTGCTGGTTCTGGATCTGGATATCCAATAGATCTTGTCCCAGCGAAAAACGGCCGCTGACATTGAACGAAACTGATCATAACTGCGAGCACCAACACGTTTGTGAATGTAGCCATTGTATCTGTGAACAAAAAGTAAATTAGACCTTATTACCGACCTTTTGTATTCAGTTAACAACAGGTTTTTATATCTATGTGTGTTAATTTAAAACAGGTTTAACGTTATTTTTAGTTCAGATATGCAAATGGTAAAAAACTGAAACAATCTTTTATACTGATACAAATAACTTCAATAAAAAAAAGTCTCATGTCCAAAAGCAAAAGCGACTCTCTCGAGGTCAAAGGTTCGGGGTTCGATTCCTAGCCGAAACACTTATACGTTTCAAAATTGATAAAATATTGAGATTTTAGAATTTAGACTTCTTTAAAACTTATTGACCAAAAAGAAAAATGATTAGGTACCTACGAGTATGTGCTGTTCGGAGGGCACATAGTTCAAGATAATTTTATGGCGGCTTAGAATCATAATAAATAATTGAAATTAAACCTTAATTAGGGCCAGCTTTCTAAATTGAGATTTCCAGCTTGAGCATGTTCATCTTCTATTCAAGTATAATAAAATAAGATTAATTCTAATACATATATTATAAAAAGTTCATACTATGTAGGTACCTAACTAGAAGATAAACCAAAATTCTCATTTCAGAAACCAGGCATAAGTGGAATAATATTTATTAGGATGCTCTGTTTCAATTTAACACTCAATTCAGTTAGTAAAAATCAGGTAAAGGTATAAAAATAAAATATTAATTTACCTTTTTAAATTTTAGAGATCACGTTCCCAAGTATGATCCACTGTGCGCTGAAGTGAACTGAGTACCGAGCTCGGCGTGTATCACTATTTATGCGAAGTGATAGCTATAGAGATATTATATGTTTGGTCGGATACGGGCTGTGGGCACGATAGTTGTGGAACTTACGTAGAGTAAGGGAAAAATAAGTAAAGTACTTATGTGACTAACGAAAATACTATTTTGTTTAGTAAAAGTTAGGAATGAAAGTTTTTTTTTACATTTGTAGAGCAGTGATCCTAAAGTTTGGATTAGAATCAAGAAGGCATCTTTATGTATTAAGTTGAACGAGCAGTGAGCTTGATAGTGTGTGGAACGTATGTAGAGTTTGAGAAATAAGTAACGTAACGAAACTGACCTGTGTGCTTAGGCTTACCATGAGTTTACGTTAGGTGTACTCGCTAGTCACTGCATAAAAAATGACATTTAATGTATGACAAATTGTACAGCGCCCCGAAATTGTAAATCTTCATACTTTTTTTTTGACGCACTTGCTAGAGAATACAGCTGACGGAAACTCATGTTTTTAATAAAATTTTGTGAAATTCGTAGAACAGTATACCTGTAAGTTTGGATTCTAATCAGAATCGAGAAAACATGACAATTATGTGTAAATGTTGAACGAACAATAAATATGACAGTGTGTGGAGTGGAACCTAAGTATCAGAAAGTAAAAGGACCTACATCCTACTTAAATAACCAAAGAAGTATTTATAATTTTCATTCGCGATAATTAAATTAAAACAAAATTGGGTTGTACCTAGGTACGCCTAGGTACCTATACCTACATAATTGTTTGAATTGGATACGGACAAAAAGCATAATACTTTCACCTAGTAGGTATTGTAGTCATTAACATTAATCAGAGGTAGCTATTTTGTCAAACCGTCACATACGAACTCATCGCCAAAAATGTTAATTCATACTTTTCCGGTAACTATTTGTGTCAAAATTACAGTTAATTTGTATTCGCTTCATGTAATCTTTCCCGTTATTTCCGTAATAAGTTTTTCATACAAATAAGTAGTGAGTAACGCCCGTGTCTGTTATCTTTCAAAGTCTGCGTAAAAACCCATCTTCGAGTCGATACTTCGAACGCATTCGATGACGTGTTACATTGGCTTTTGTAACTTGATCTTTCTAGAGGAGTATTTTATTACTAATCAAAGTGTCTTATTGATCTGGTCAAGATAATATTGACCTTTGCTCATGAACTGACCGGTTCTAATGCAGTATCAGTAAAATCTGGTCGGTCGTGCCAAGCCCACAGAACGGTGACGTAAGTTTGTGTCGTCATCATTGGTAGTAGTGATTTATCGCGTGTATTTTGTTTATGTCATTAATGTCAAGGTCTTCTTTTTTGGTCTTCATTCTGATTAAAAATATCATTTGTTGCAGGAGGTTGGATTAAATTAGGTTCTTCTTTCTGGAATAAATTTTCGTCTTAATCCATAATGTGATTTTTCGTAACTTTTTCTATTATTATGGGACCTTTAAAATGGACAAAAAAACTAAGACTGAGTTGCACCACCTAACTTTAACCGTGACTATAAAGATAACCGGTGTATTTTGTATGGAGTTTGACAAATTTTTGACATTTGTTAAAGTCAAAGTAAGTTGGTGCAACCCAGCCTAAGTTTTTTAATTTTTTTTTAATAAAAATGTCCGAAATGTGTAATATCCGAAACCGTAACCGTAACCGATTCAAAAGTTTCGGATTGTTTCGGATCTAACAGCCTGGTTTAGCTTTATAATGCCATCGAATATCAATTTTTATTTTTTTATTACTTTTTATTCAATGTAAAGTGTGCGGCCATGAATGAACCGTGTTGGACAGCTATTGCAAATTGCATTCTAAAGCACAGATATCCGCAACCGTAACCGAAACTTTCGGATATCCGAAATAAAAAAATATCCGTAACCGTCACCGAAACCGGTATAAATTATTCCAAACCTATTATTCCTATATTCGTAACCGTATCCATAACCGAAACTACATATCCATAACATCCCTACTTCAAGCTATCGCTTGTTAGGTAGTTGTAATAGATCCCATTTTGCAACAGTGCTTTATTGCCTACGTAGCTATGACTCAGCCGCATAAATTGATTCTTATCGGTCTAACTATGGTTTAACCTTTGATTGTATTGTTATTTTAGTAGTCCAGAGTATATGTTTAGACTCTGACCGTTTTCTGAATTAAGATTTTTGGCTTGAGATATGAACTTTTTATAGTAAATTCATCTTTGAGTAGAAGATGAACAAGCTCAAGCTGGCAAATATTGGCATATTTCAGAAACCGGGCTTAAATCTACTATCTAATGCTGAGTTACACCACCTAACTTTGACCGTAACTTTGGACGATAACCGGTGCTTTTTGTATGGATTTTGTCAGATTTATGAAGTTTGTTAAAGTTAAAGTAAGATGGTGCAACCCACCCTTAGAGTAGCTTAATGACTTGTTGTATGTTTGATTCCTATGTGGAATATTAGTACCTACTCATAGAAAAATAATTGTATATCCCTATGGTAAAAGTATTTCAGGATTCTTCCTTTGGGAGCTCCTAGCGATGTAAGATAACCATCCATTGAGAAGGTTCAGTAGGTACTTTATTTACATGCTTGTTTAAAGATAGCACCTATCACCATTACATAAGAACGGTATTACAGTATTTAGCTTGATAATATGCTGTTGACAACAATATAGAGACGTTCTGGGCCCTGAAAGTTCTGAAGTGGAAAGTGCAACACGAGTTTTCGGGTCGCCTCACTTTGATGTGGTCGGCACTCACAATATAAAGTCCAGCAGGTTTTACTTGTCCTTCCTTAATATGTCATCAAATCTTAAACAAAATCGCATTATTTGTATCAGTATGCAAGTTCCTACCTATTTATTACTTTGTAGGTAAAGCTATTAATTATTGAAAATTCAGAGTATGCTGATGATTTAATAGGTGGCTAAAGTTAAGAAATGTTCATTTAAGTACATACACAGAAATCACCTTTACTCGTAGGTTCGACATTTCCCTAACATTACAGGTACTGACTTCAGATGATGAAAATCTGTTGGTCACAAACCTCGGTGCTACGAATTTAGCTCAAAAAAGCAATGTTGCAACTTCTGTCATTGATTTGTTTTTAATAATAAATTGCTTGTTTTAGGTACCTAGGTATTATTAAAATCCTGTGATCTATGGTAGAGCGAGATTGCCCAGAAAATGTCTAGTCATTCAAGTGTGACTTTCACCAGGGAAATCACAACTCCTAAGGCGGAAAGTGTAAAATATAAACAATCAAAACAAGTACATTCTTAACAAAATAATTTATTTTTAATAAATGCCAACAGGACTAGAAGGGACTAACTAATAGGCAATTTCCCTTCTTATAACTAAAATTACACACTCAAATTCAAAAATATCACAGTTCACAATATCGAAACTATACAATGTAACATAACTCAATTAAAATAAATAAACAAATTTTTTAATTTGGTTCACGTTCGATTTTCGAAATTTGTTTTTTATTTGTCAACGAAGCTGTTCCTCTTCAGTGGCCAGGTCTGAGGTTTGTTTCTGAGCGAGTCGTACTGCACAGCGTTGATGTACCAAAAAGGTCGGCTCTCCACCGGCATTTTTTCTATAGTATTTATCAATACCCTGTCCCCTTTAGCTTCTATAGGTACCGGTTCATCTTCTCCAAATCTGTTTGATAGTAGTTGAGTATCGGCTTCTATTTGTGGAAATCCAATGGATCTTGTGCCGGCGAAGGACGGTCGCTGAGCTTGCACTAAAGTGGCCATTAGGGCAAGAACCACGGCGATTGTGTACGTTGCCATTGTCTGCGAAACAAAAGAACATTGTAACATGCAGTTTTAAAGTCGCACTAAACGAGCGATGTCTGACAGTTATAGTGAAACGTTTTTCACTAACTGTTATCTATTCTTAAGCATTGTACAAAAAGGCTTCTGAGGGTGTTAAATTTACTCAATTTCTGTCACTATTGTGACATTTATTTATTTATACAATGAAGCAAAAAATTTGGAAAATTAAAAATACTAAAGTTGACTACGTTTTCTTCGTTAATATTAACAAAAATTTAATACAGTTCAATTTAATGCTTATATGCTTTGGGAAAATTATACGTTGAGATACTAAAAGAAAATTTGAAAGAGAGAAAAAACAATTTTAAAATATTTTCTTTAAGTTCGTACAATAAATGTTAGGTAATAGGTAGGTACTACGATTAAATAGAAAATATATTTACCTGATTAAAACTGGGATATTGCCGCGTAAAGTAACTGAATCGTTGGTTCACTTTGGACGTTGCGTGTTGAATGCATGCCAGTACAACGCGCCGTCAGTATTTATGCAAAAACGATGCGCGCCCGCAGACCTGATAGTGATAGAGCGGGCACCGGGAAATTTGCAACGTAGAGTTCAGTATTATTTTATTGATAACTTGCTCTGTGAATTTATTTTAAATTATACTTAACTCGCAGCACTTAATAATCAGAGCTAGGCATTATTTAAATAGATAGGTACTTCCAATCCAAGGTACTAAGAACTTCTAGTACCTACTTCCAATTATGGATTTATAATAATATGGTTTAGTTCAAAACCGCCTAATTAATCTACAACTAAATTATAAATAAAGTGAAAAAATAAAATAATTACGGATTGTAGTGTGTTCTATTTTATTAGTTTAGGATTAATCAGAAATTTCAACTAGATTGTGTGTCTAATTGGAAAATATAATTATAATTTTTCTACTTACAACAAAAACAAACTTAGTAAAAATAATAAACATTAGAAATACTTAGTGTACCTCAAAATATTTTATGTAAAGCAACCTACTCAACTTATCTACCTTCTTAAAATAATTAGGGATTACAAATAAATTGAACTCTACTTTGTTTACAATGCTCGCCATATTCTCCCACGCTTTAAAATTAATCATAGTTCATAGACCTGTCATAGAACATGAATAATATTTATTTCTAACCGCAGTTATAATTAACTGCAACCGATAAACTACTTACGAGTAATATTGTTGTATCTTCTATAATCTTTTTAACTCTACGCGTAAAAACCCATCCATTCGAAACGTCATGAGGTTCCTCCCATTCACGATGGTGACGTCACGGCTCGACCTCTGCTCGATCAGGCCACAGTAAAGTGTGAGTAGTATAACATCTTCATACTAATAACGACCTGCTTGCGAGTTCGAATCCCAATGGGATCTTAAGGTAGTGGAATAAGCTTTTTAATACAAAAATTTATGTAGGTACTATGTAGTCTGATGATTTCAACTGATAAGATTTGTTTATATTCGGACTAAGTTGACTTTTACATTTTTTTTTTACTTAAAAAAAATATTAATACATTTTAGAACATAACATTAGAAATTGCAAAAACACTAGGCTGGGTTGCACCATCTCACTTTAACTTTGACAAACGTCAAATATCTGTCAAACTCCATACAAAATACACTGGTTACCGCTATAGTTACTTTCAAAGTTAGGTGGTGCAACTCAGCCTTATTATAGGTAACATTTTTAGTGAAATGTTTGAGAAAATATTATAATGGAACTGAGACACTGTGTTGTGTGATTTCCAAAATTCAGCGTGGCATTGTCATAGCATTACTATAAAATTTTAGTATGTCCAGTCTTAGCCAATACGAGGATCATTATCATGACGTAGTGTCTGCCCAGTGTTACTTGACCTCTTCCGTTATCGACACAAGTACCTCTTTAGTATACGCTGAGAGGTCTTGATTGCTGGTCATTGATTCGTGCAATCATGAGTGACGTTGGGTTTTGTGTTGTATACAAAATGTATGTCGTCATGGTTTTTGGGATTTAATGGTAAGATTCTTTAAAAAGTAAAAATGATCTGTCAAACGCTAGAAGGTGTGTCTACGGATGACGGACATGATTCAGCAACTAAGAGTTCTTCGAGATTTTTGCCAGATTCTGTTAGATTCTGCGAGATTTCGCTGGCCTTCACTACTGATTGTTTATCTCTATGCCAAATTTAATCAAAATCACTTCAGTGGTTTAGGCGTGAAAGCAAGACAGACAGACAAAGTTAGTTTCGCATTTATAATATTAATAAATATAATAGTATTAGAATAGTATAGATTAGACTCCCTGCAGACTAAAGACTTTTAGTCGGCCGATAGTTCGGCCCTATTCAAATGATGTTTTTTGCCCGATTCTGCTAGATTCTGTGAGATTTCGCTGGCCCCTACTGATTTATCCTTCTGAATTGAAAACGTCCATGGCTAGACAAACTTACTTGTTTTGTGTGGTGTATAATAAAGTGTTTATCTAACTATCTATCTTTGTTCTCTAAGGATTTTGGCAACGACTGATCCTGTGCTTCCCGCGATCTTCACCAGAACATCTCCATCTCTCTAGTGAAAAAAATGTGATTGCATGTAGCCAATATTGATTAGAGGGCATAGTTGATTGCAGGGCCGGATCGTGAGTTTAGGGGATCCTGGGCTATTACTGCTTAGGGGTCCACCTACTATACACTTTCACATTATCACCTATTTTTGACTTTGACTTGACTTAGCTGGGCCCCTTGAATTCACGGTGCCCTGGGCTGAAGCCTAAAAAGCCATATGGTAGATGCGGCCCTGGTTGACTGGAAAATGATTTCCGCTCGTCAAAAGTTACGGCAACAGATACCAAATAATAAAGAGAATGATATTATTTTTATAATCCGAACCCACAAGTCATATTGATAAGGAGAATATTTATTTCTAAGAATCCTATTCATCAAACGGTTCTATTTTTACCCCAACATTTTGATTACAGACCAATAAATAAGGAAAATGAACGACATTAGGTTTATGAGGTGTAATTTATATAAAGTTCTTATATTTACATTTAAATGATGACTCTTCGAATTTCATAAAGGCGCACGTTTTCCGTTTTCATGATTTATTTTCATAGTTAAATTAATGTTTACTATAACTAACTAATGTGGGTTTTTCCAATCTATTAATTGCGAATTGTTTACATTGAGGACATTGTAAGTTATTAACAATATTATTTTTTAAAGTCATCTGAATCTTCTGTGTCATCATCAAAATCTGATAATATTATAGCGTCTTTATTTAGTACACAATTTCACAAATACAACCAATGTGTACTGTGCCAATTGGGTCCTTGACTCACCATAAGTCGTGGCAATTTTGTTCTGTCATAGAAGTTTTATCACAGTGTGTCCAATGTGAAGTAATGTATTTAGAAACACCGTTTCTTCATGATTATGAATATTCATAATGTTCTCTTTTCAGAATTATATCATCTATTTTAACAATTCAATTTTTATTGCAAAGTTTTTGCTTCTGTTTCAATTTCAATATGAATGCCAAAATTCATTTTAAATTCGTTAATCATTTCATGTATGAACACATAATTTAAGTAAACACTTTTATTTTACAACTCGAACTAGTTGACTGCGCACATGTCTCCCCGTCTATTCCAGAGCGTCGATGTGACGTCACGGCGTCCAGGTGCGCAGTTAATCGACTGGGTTATAGTTTATTTTATTTCTGTGACCAATTATTATTATAGTCAGTGCTATTCGAGATGGACTTGACATTGAATTCTTGTTTAACTGGTTCCAGATAATTGCATATTGGAAAATGATCACGCTTCACGCCTCTGTTATTAGCTTTACCCTTTTTTATGTTGGTTTAATAAATTAATACCACAAGGAATTTACCCGATCCAGTTTTATGACATTCTGCATTATTAGATCTAGCAAAACTGGATTTGTGTATTGACACGGTAGTATCCCGTTTTTGATAAATACAGTTGTTTGCAAAGAATGTATTACAGGAAGCTGTTAGTGGGAACACTTTCTATTAAACATACTAGTAATTAAACTGGATCTTGTTTTTAACGGGCCCAGTTTAATGACAAAACCGAATAACAAATAATAATTCGAACGTATCGGTTTTTGAGGAACACTGCAAACGGGATTTAAATACCTAAGTACGTAAACTAATAACCGGGATCCTGCAAAACATACAGTAGGTGCAAAAAAACGGGATGTCCCCATAAGAACCTTTGGGTGGGAAGAACCTGGATGCAAGCTCGCAAGACCGTTGTGGAAATCCTTGGGGAAGGCCTTTGTCCAGCAGTGAACTTTATCTGAAACGAACAAATTTAAAATGAACATCAAGGAAAATGCTTCCCTATAATTTTTTTAAGCGATCCTGGCCTGGGCTACACAGGAGTTGCAGCGGTGGGAACGAGAGATGGGAATAGTCCCGTTTCCCTATAATTTGCGATAACGATACATCCCGTTCCAGACTTCATAGGAAACGTGCGTATATTTAAATAATTCCCCTTACTCGAACTTCAAATCGATAAATCTAAACTATGACGTCATACAAGCGCTTTGCATACTGGCGATGCATTTGCGTAGATCTATGAATGTTTACTAGAACTGCATTCGTGAAGCCATAAACTTTATTGCCAGTCGGGGAATTGAATGAGTCAGGTTTTGGTATATCTTGGTGATAAAAAGTTTATTTTTATATACAGACGACGAACAAGGCATCTTATCTTAATAGTGCTTGTACCTATAATACAAACAAGGTTCTGGAGTGGAGGCCACGCCACGTACCGGAAAACGCAGTGTGAGACGTCCACCCACAAGGTGGACCGACGACCTGTTAAAGGTAGCAAGAAGGCGTTGGATTCAGGCCGCTACCAACCGTGCGATGTGAGTCATTGGGGGAGGCCTATGTTCAGCAGTGGACGTCCTGCGGCTGAAATGATGATGATGATGAATGCAACAAATGTAGAGTCTGATGAGCTGTAAACCGTACTTTGATGCATACGTGTAAGTAGACGTCACGTTTCTAAAACTACATTAAAACTGAAGCTGTCTCATGGTTAGATAAAGATCGAGAGTCTAAGTACTCTACGTGAGTTTTAAGTCAAATTACTTGTCCAGAAGTATCAAGATACCTACTAGCTATTGCCCGCGCGAAATTCAGTTTGTCTCAGAAAGACCAGCTTATTTGACTTGTCGCTGTAATTTGGTCAATTAATTCCAGATAGTTGTAAAGTTACCTAATTAATTACTAAGTATTATCATTCTGATATTATAAACAACAATTCTTTAATATAAAGTTTCATGATAATTAGTTCAGTAGTTTTTTGCGTTTATAGAGTTAGTAAACATTCACTCACACAAACTTATTCGTATGTTCTGTGGTTTTAATAGTTATTTAAGTACAAACTATGTTTCGATTGGCTAAGATTATTGTAAATAACTTCAAGTTTATTAAAGTCATTCTATTATTAAGTTACCCAATTAGTAGGTACGTGATCGAAGA